ATACATTAATGAGTGTAATTATAATGCATGTATTGTAATGCATTAATTAATATGGTTATAACACATGTATTATGACATACTACTCGATGAAACAATATATGAAATGATATGAGCCTAGTGTATGATTGAAAGTATTGATTCTATGGTTATTATCATGTTTGAACTGTTGTAGAATTTGTTAATGCAATATATGACTTAGCATTGTCTTAGTGCATATTGCATTTACATGATATTTTTGTCTTACATGATTTATTTATAAAATAAAGGATTTGGCAGGACAAGAATACTCGCCTTATGAATTATTTTCCAAAAAATGAAATTGAAGAGTAAATGAAGGTTGAATCAATCTAGAATTATACTCTTAGTGAGATTGTAAGGAAGAGTTATTTTGATATTATTTTGATTAATTCAAGGACTGTAATAGTTTTGTTTAAGTTCTATTTTTAATTGACAATAATTTGTAGATATTATTTTATGTCAAGTTATTTTGAATTTGTGAATTTAGTTAAATTTTGTTGTAATAAGTAATGCAAAGTGTTTGTAATATTGGTAGTTAGTTAATTTAATTATAGTTTACATTCTATTTTAGATAGAAAATTACTTTGCCGACCAACAGAGTTATTTATTGTTTAAATCTAAATGTATGCAATATAAAATTTTGTTTCCACTCTAAATTTTACGAATATAAAGATTTGAAAATTATTTCTTTTGAAATTTTAAACACCTTTGAGTTTTCATAAATAAAATAAAGAAATGTAAGTTTTTTTTTTTCACTTAAAGTCTTTAAGCTATAAATATTAAATAAATTTATTTTATTTTTCTTCCTTCGTTATAAATTATTGTACATATTTGAGATATAAAATAAGGATATTAAAATAGCTCTTGAGGCAGGAAAATTTTTTTCCAAGAACATTCTCTTCATATCTTGCCAACAAGTTATAAAACTAAGGTGCAGGTAGTATAGCCATTCTTTAGCAAACCCATCTAGTGAAACAGGAAAGGCCGTTAGCTTGATGTGATCTTCCTTTACTCCATATGGCTTCATGGTTGAGCACACCACATGGAACTCCTTCAAGTGCTAATGATGGTCTTCTCCAGCTATGTAATACCCTAAATTTTGTAATATCGTTTGATTATTAATATAAATGTGTGGGTTGCTATTTGAGTATGTATTTGATGTATATGATGACGTGGATATATGTGTGTGGATGTTTGAGTTGTATGATGTTGATGTGTATTGAATGATGGTGTGAATACATATATGTGAATGATGTTTAAGATATGGATTGATTGAGGAAAATAGGCTAAGTGTATGATGCAGAGGCATTCTGGCTGCAGTGAGAGTGTCCTGGGAGAGGGGTGTGATTCTGTTGCGTTCTCGTTGTAGCGAGAAGGCAACAGAGAGGGGTGCATTTTGGGTTGCAGTCTCAATGTAGTGAGAGGGCCTCTCTGTAGCGAGATTTTGCAAAAACCAGAATGCAATTTCCCCTGAGATTTTTTTGTAGCGAGAGTGTCGCAATCAGAGGGGTATTTGAGGGGTTTAGAGTTTGGGAAAAATTATTTTCCCACTTCTCCCTTCGAACTCTCTCTATTCTCTTGATTTTTAAGTCATTCTCACTAATTAAATTGCTTCCAAAGCCTTTTGGGAGCTAGATTGAAGGTGGTAATCATGTTTGGGGCTTTTGGAGGTGAGTTTCAATGGCTAGGGTTTCGATTTTTGTCCCTCTTCTCTATTTCCTTGGTTCTCCCTGAGTTTTCATGGAATTTTTCCATGTATTTAGAACAAAATCCGTATGAGAAATGTTTTCATTGTTGAATTGCGTTGTAGGTCTTCGATTTGAGGTAAAAGGGGGCTCTACCCTATCTCATTGTGCTTGAAAATTATTTATTTGGTTGTGTGTTATAATGCGGCTAGGATGGAATGTAGAAGATATGTGTTTTGATGAGAATGGGTTGATTGTGATTGGATCTTGATGGAAATGTGGTGTGCAATATGATGTGATTGATATTTGAGAAATGTTTATGATGGATAGTGGATGTGTATATGATGAAATGAATGATTGTAGGAAGAATTAGATGAAAACAGTGTGATTGAATATCGTGTGGTGGAATATGTGTGTATGTGCCTTCGATTGAAAGTGAATGATATGAGATGAATGAAATGTGTGTGTGGAAGACATAATGAATTGTCAATGTGATTGTGAATATGTTGGAAAGCTATGAATGGTTCAACGATACACTGAGTGTGTGGAAGATATAGGCGGTAGAAATACCTTGGGAAAGAAAGGGTGGTGGTGACACCAATAGTGAGTGTGGGTGCACCACAGGCTACATACTCTCCTCCTAACTCGGCCTCTGACTAACACATTTGCTCTAGGGGCTCAATATTGGATATGTTGTATTCGTTGAGCGAGAGTTATCTGGCGACCACCCATTATGTGAAACTAAGTAAGTCCCTGAGGTTGAGGACATTAGGAAATTGTGATCACAGTGCCACAGTGAGCGTGGCTAGCATGCAGTGAGCGCATGTGGGTGTTGTTTGTTAATTGTTGATGGTGCATTGAGTGCATCTTTATATGAGTTGAAATGAAATGCTGAAATGTGTTATGTTGTAGTTGTTTGATGTGTGAATTTGAGTTATATCGGAAGTGTGTAGAAGCATGTCAAGTGAGTCTCTATGCTTGTATGTGTGTTGATAGTGTAGAGTACTCACCCTTACATTTATTTTTCAGGTGACTAAGACGATCAGCACCGGGCTCAGTGAAGGAATGGATGGAATTGCTATAGGACTTAGAATATTATTTTGGAAATATAATGTATTTGAATTAGTCTTGTAGCAGTCATTTGATATAAATTTGTAAACTTTTCCTTTATTTCCATTTTGAATTACTTCAATGAAACTATGTGTTGGGAATTGTTTAAATGAAAATTTTTATTACCCCTAAATTTTGCAAAAAAGTATTTATTTGGAAAAAATTAAATTAAGGCATTACAAGCTAGGCCATGAAACTTGAGTAACATGTGGATTAATGAAAGACTGTTGTAATCGATCAAAATAATGAGAAAGTAAATGTAGTAATTAGGTTAAGCTAACCTAGGTTGTGTTCCTAGGGATCATTGGATAATTGAATGAATATTAAACACCTTCTATGCATTATGTTTAGAAACAGGGTGAGTTTTCAGATTGATTTAGTAAAAATAGAATTAAAAATTAAATTGGATTAAATTCAATGTAAATGAATGATCAATTCATTGATTAACAATCTAGTCTAGAGTTCTTTATTGGATTCAAGTTATGTTTTTCAATTATCAAAACTTAGCCTTAATATGATCTCTGTAGAATAAGCATTCTGAATTCAATGTTAAACCTAAATCAAGCAATTACACCATTCTTAATGAAGGATTAGCATCTCAAGCATAGAATCTTATGAAATTTCTCTTAATTCAATTCAAACCTTGCAAGAATAGCACTTAACAAAATTTGAATTATATGTAATGTAGAATCTCAAGCAAAATTCAATCAGAGGTTCAATTAAGCAATTAATCATCAATCAATCAAAATCATGTATAGAATTAAGGGAAGAAGAGAATTAGATTGAAGAATTGAAACGTTTCTAGAACAATACCTCAGATCCCTATGATTAGAATGTCAATTCAGTGAATTAATCCAAAAGTTTTAACCTTCCATTATAATAAAACTCAGAAATGCAGAGAAAAGTATCATCAACATTCAAAGAAATGTGGAAGAAATGAGAATTAAAAAGTAGAAATCCTATATATGAACCTTCAAAATCGCTCCCAAAGTTCTCTTTCTATCCCTCTAAAAGTCTAGAAAGGAAAAAATGAGAAAGATTCATAAATTTTGAGCTTGGGATCTATTTATAGTTTTTCCTGCTTTTCTGTCGTGATCACTTTTTGTGAGAAAAGTAACCTCGCACAAGGCTTTTTGCAATGCCAAGGTTCGAAACAATCACTTTTTATAAAAAAAAACAAAAAAAGTGGCCATGCGCAGATGTATTTTTCCATAAGGCTTGCGTGTGATCACTATTTGCACAGAAAGGAGTCATATGCTACATAGTTCCTTCATAACAAGTTTGCACGTGGTTACTTTTGGTGAGGAAAATAGCTACGTACGAGCTTCTCTTCGAAAACTCCTATGGAACGTTCACTTTTGGCAAGAAAAGTGGCAACACACATAGCTTTTCTCTTGAAACCTTTCAGTGTTGCTCCTTTTAGCGTGGAAAGTGATAATGCGCAGCTGAGCTCCTCTAATTAGGCTCTGGAGTGATCACTTTTTATGAAAAAAGTGATCACGCCCATCATGGTTTCACTTTAATGCCTTTGCACTATCACTTTTTGCACCAAAAGTGATCACTTTTTATAACTTTAAATGCTCATAGCTTCCAAACCTGAAATCTAAAATCACAAGTGATACATCAAATTAAAGTTCTAGGAATCAACTATCTATAAAAGAAAGAATCTCCTCAAAAGTTTGACCTTAGAAAAAGATTACAAAATTAATGAACAAAGGTCAAGATAGTTAAAGTAATGAAATTAAAGAGTTTTTTTAATAAAGTTCAACTAATGTAGCTTGGATTAAAATAGCCAAAATTAATCAATTAAGCATAATTAAAAGCCTATTAGCTTAATGAAAAGCTCAAAACATAAGCTCAAAATATTGCTCATCAATTAACCCAAACTTTAGCTCAAAGTCTACATTCAACCCAAAGTATTTTTTATTAATAAGAGAATTTTCATGATTTAATAATAATATAAATTTTTTATACAATTAATATATTTAAATTAAACTTGATTTATATTCATTTTGTTACAAAGAGTTATATTTAAAAAAAATAGAAATATTATTTTTATTCAAAAACCTTCTTTCAACACACACATATATAATCTATCAAAAACGAATAAACAAAAACACATTTTTAATGTTTTTAAATAAATAAATAAAAAAATATGCAAGGCAAAGGGAGCCAAGTGCACTAGTTAGCGTTACCCTGCACCCGCAGCGATAATAACGGCTTAACCGGGATTGAGGCGGCGAGCATAAACCCTTAATCCATAAACCGTAAACCATGTCGGACACGAAAGACACAGAGCAATACGGTGTCCTCCTCTATTACAAGTATGCACACATTCCGAACCTCGACGACCTCCTCACCTTTTACCACTCCAACTGCTCCTCCCTCTGCCTCCTCGGTCGTGTTCGCCTTTCTCCCGACGGCGTCAATGTCACCGTAAGTATTTCTATTTTACCATTCCAATTTCATTTCTCTTTCATTTCATTTTCATTGTACTAGGTTGGCGGCTTCTTATCCTCTTTGGAGAGCCACATTGAAGCTCTCAAGGCCCATAATACCTTGTTTCACGACACCGATTTCAAGCTCGCAACCTGTCATCACCCGTTAAACGACAAAGTTGCTGAAGAGTGTGGATTCACTTCTCTCTCGATTCGGATCGTCAAGGTCTGCTTCTTTATCCTATGTTTTGTTGTCTAATTTTATTGTTGTTGTTGATCTTAACTCATTCTGTTGTTTTAACAGGAACTTGTTACTCTCAGTTCTCATCCCCTACTGAAGTCTCCAGAGATCTCGAATGCTGGAAGGCATCTCTCTGCGGATGAGTTCCATTCTTCCCTTCTGAATGCTAGTGAGTTGATATTTTTTTATAGCGTTGATGATGTATGTATTTTTCATTTGTTATCTTGGTTCAAATTCACTTGTTCTCTTTACCGTGTTAGCGTGTTTATTCCTCCCATTTATCTTCACTATCTAGAGCTTTTGATTGTATTTGCAGAATTGGTGTTGAAACCTGAATCTTCTTTTGTATAATATTGTTGTATTGTAGACAAGGAGAGTCCGGAAAATGGCTTTGTTTTACTTGATGCAAGGAATCTGTATGAAACAAGAATTGGGAAATTTCATGCACCGAATGTTGAAACTTTGGATCCTCAAGTTAGGCAGTATAGTGATTTCTCTTCATGGATAGATGACAATGGTGATCGGTTGAAAGGAAAAAATATCCTCATGTAAGTTTTCCTTTTGAAACATTTTTGTTAAACAGCTGATTAGTGATTTGGGGATAGTATTTTCCATCCCATTGTCATTTATGTACTCAAGTAACATAATCACTTGTGGTTCGGTAATTTCACTTGCTGGTTACAGGTATTGTACTGGCGGAATCAGGTGTGAAATGGCATCAGCATATATTAAGTCAAAGGGTGCTGGGTTTGAGAATGTGTTTCAGGTAAACTCCTGAATTTCTCTTCTCCAGTCTCCATGCACATCCCCCTTTTGAGAACAGAAAGGAATTTTGATTATGTCATGAATTTCTTTTATGTTCACAAGCTATTCATGTTATGAAACCATAGAAAACAGCCCATTGATACTCAGTCACAACACAAGGACCTTGGTATTGGTCTGAATGAATTATGATGACTGTGGAGTGTGGAAATTTTGTGGTATAGTACACTTGATGGAATTTATAATATAACATGGTCAAGACTGAAGAATGCCACACTGCTGGTGACCAATATTTCTTGTAATTTTGTATTCATTTCAGTTATTTGGTGGCATCCAACGGTATTTGGAGCAATTTCCAGATGGTGGTTTTTTCAAAGGAAAGAATTTTGTTTTTGATCACCGGTATGCCTTTTTTAATCCTCACATTGCTTTTAGGCATGAATTTGTATGAATATCTTGTAATCCTGTTGTGATTGGAATATTGATATTACACCAAATTGTTTCATTGCCATTATTTGTTAATAGGAGCTATAGTGGTATATTTTTTGCTTTTGGAATCGATAGACAATGTTTGCTTTTGAATTGAACACATAGTTGACCTAATAAGGTTTGATTGTATCTGTGAACTGGGTCATTCCACTTGGCCCTTTATTGTAAATACTAAATATTATTCAAATAACTGAACCTTTGAACTAAACACTTGTTCCCTAACTATATATAAATCATATTTTCTTGCTGACCCTCTATTTTAATTCTATCAATGTTTTTATTATGAGTGACTTGGTGATTACACCACAGTTCATTTCTCATTTATTTTAAATTTTCATGATTTAGATGTTTTATTATTACCTTGTAAGCTTAATATCCAAATTACTTCTTATGCTCTTAAATCTTAATTTAGAGAACCTAGAAAGACCATTGTGATTTCATTGCTTTCACTATTTAAGTTTCGTTCACATAACTTGCTGCTCATGCTGACGATTTCAATTTGATATTCTTGGCTTTATTTTGCGCTTGGGGGGTGGGGGAGGATTCACTTGCTCTTGTCTTCTTGTAATAACACTTCTGGCTCTTAATGCAATGGTGGCTTAGCCGTCTATATTCATTATTGAAATTGTCCAAGAGTGGGTCAGTAATCTTGAAAGCTGGCCAAAAACAATTCCTTATTTCACTCCTGTGGCTGTAGGATATCAGTTGGAAGTTCAGATCCTAATATTATTGGTACCTGCCTTATTTGTCGCTGTTCATTTGATGATTACTCTTCACGCTGCCGATGTACTTACTGCAGAATGCTTGTTTTGGTTTGTTGTAATTGCCAGGTATGATATGATAATGTGTACCATATCTGTGCCAATATTTCGTTTGCGTATCTCTGAATTTTAACATTCCGAAGGAGTTTGAAAGGGAAATTTTTTTAATAAAGAGAATGGAATCATTATCTCCTGAGATTGTGCTTCTGTTTTGGAAGACTAAACTAAGAACTGTTTAGGGGTGTTATAATGACAGTTTTTACAGTGCCCGCCAATATAAGAGCTTGGTTCTGATTATTTTTGTTTTTTAAAATTGTGCTTAACTTGAGTGTTGCTTTTGAGCTGGTTTAGTTGTAACTGGTTCAGTGGTTCTAGATAATATTAATAATGGCTCGCTTTTGACAAGTATTGAAGTTTGCTATTTGGAAAAATTTGGATTTTTCTCAAATGATGTTCATGAATGTGTAAGCTGTCTACTATTACTATGATCATTAGGCCTTAAAATTCGGCTTCAAGCATGCTTGCATTTGAATACCGTTTATCCTGAAGCTGTGGTTACTAAACCTTGGGTTACCTACATTTATAATTAGTAATGTAGAAAATTTATCCTTTCTCTTCCATCTTTAATTTACTGACTCTATTCTGTTTCTATTTGTCTTCTCTTCTTGCTTCTGATATTATTGTGGTCCACCAGAATGAATCTGCACAATATGTTTGTGAGCTATGCGAAAAGCAGGGCAAGGCTGTTAGGTCAAAGCAGTTAATTGAAGATGGTGAATCAAAAACGTCATTGCCAGGGGTTGAGTTGCAGAACTTTTCTTCAGATACTATGTTCTTGCCTCAAGTGCCTAGGGGAGATGGTAAGGTCTGTGATCCATATCGCTCCAACATACCTTGCTTTCATGTGCTATTTTGTCAAATTTTAAGTTAAACTGATGATTAATCTTACAATTGTCATGTTGCACTGAAAATTTTGCTAGTCTTCTAAAATTTGAAGCGTTTGCAATTTGAAAAGCGATCAGTAATTTACTTGAAGTGTACAATTCCTAACATCTTATTGCATAATGTTTCAGATGTAAGGACCTCAAGAAAACTGAGAATCTTATGCTTGCATGGGTTTCGGCAGAATGCATCCAGTTTTAAGGGAAGAACAGCGTCATTAGCCAAAAAGCTCAAGAAAATTACTGAATTTGTTTTTATTGATGCACCTCATGAATTGCCATTCATTTACCAAACCCCTGTGTCGGCTCTCAATGTGAATTGTGCACCATCATCATCATCATTGCTACCTAGTCCTCCTCCACCTTTGGAGAATTGCAGGAAGAAGTTTGCATGGTTTGTGGCATCCAACTCTGATGGAAGTAGCGGTCCTGATTGGAAGGTAGCAGATGGCCCATTTGATCCGCTTCAATACCTGGAGCAAACTTTTGGCTACGATATTTCAATTTCACACTTGAAGAATGTGTTTTCCCAAGAAGGACCCTTTGATGGAATCTTGGGCTTTTCACAAGGTGCCGCAATGGCTGCCTTAGTCTCTGCACAAGAAGAAAAGCTGAAAGGTGAAATGAACTTCAAATTTGTTGTCTTGTGCTCAGGCTTTGGTCTCCGTGCGGAAGAGATGGAACGTGGCACTATCAAATGCCCTTCTCTTCATATTTTCGGTGATGAACATGGTAAAGACAGACAGATAGCCAACCAAGCTAGCAAGGAACTTGCTTCTCTATATGACAGCGATTGTTCTGTGATCATTGAACATGATTGTGGTCATATAATTCCTACTCGGTCCCCTTACATAGATGAGATCAGGGATTTCCTTGGGCGTTTTCTGTAGTAGAGTAAAAAAAAATGCTCGAGTTTTTAATACTAAAATTTACATAGTTGCTTCTATGTACCACCTTTCTAAAATAATTGTATAATGCTCTATGTTCATGCAATTGCCTCATCAAATGATTCAAATCTAGCGAAGGCCACATCTCTTTCTTATATTTAGCAAGTGTGCACTGAACACATAAGGTCGTGCCCAGCCTGTAATTGATAGGAAGAGGGTGTGCACTGTCAATTTTATCTAATTAAACATTGTATGTTACTTAACGTAATTCTTACTTTTATAGTAGTTTTAATTTTTAATTAAAATTAAAATTGTAGTACATGATGGCAATTTTTTTGTGATTTTAAACTTTCTTTTAAATAGCCTCAGATATAGAAGGTTACAAAAAGAGGGTTAAAGATACAAAAGGTAATTCTAACAATATTTGAAAAAGATACATCAATTACTACATTTTTTGGAAAAAGTAATTTAAGCTGCAGGTAAGCTGGACAAAAATGAGAAGCAAGGATGGAAGTAGATCAAATTATTTATTGGTTTATAGCTTATATCAGGTATAGGATAATAATTTTTTTATCAAACAAGTTAGACTAATAGTAAATTTAAAATTTATTAAATAAAAAGGATTGTGTTTTAGATTATTTAAAAGCCTTTTAAATTTAGTAGATTGACATATTTTTAAAAACATTATTATTAAATTTTTAATATAAATATTTTAAAATTATTTTTTTCAAATATTTTAATTTAATTATTTATATATAAATTTAGACTTGTTAATATATTTAAAGATATATTTTTGAGTTATTTTAATATTTTATTGTAAAATACATTTTTAATATACTTTCTAATGAAATTTTTAACTAAAATATATTAAAATTATAAAAGTACAAGAAAATATATTAAATTAAGAGATAATAATTTTTACAATTAATAAATTTTAACTAATAATTAAAAATATATTAAAAAAATGTTAACATTTCTCATTCTAGTATAGCACAAGCTGTTTTCACCCCAACCCCCAAGGCCAAAACAGAAAAAGTGATTGCAGAAACTTGTGAGACTCTCTCACGCTTAAACCCCTTCGAAGTTTAAACCTCTGGCGTGGCTTGTTGGACACAAAGAAGCTCCAACCAAGATGCAGGGTGTTGTAAAAAAAATGACCAAGATCATTTCACGCAGACAAGTATGTCTTTCCTTCATCGCTTTCAGCTACCTCGCATCTCGTTTTCTTCGAAACAATTTGCTGCTGCCACTGTGGCATCCGATTCAAACACGGAAATTTAGTTTTGTTTCTTCAAATCCAATCAATCACTTCATAACAACTTTGAACTCTTGCTTTTCTGCTTGTCAGTTCGATTGTTCTCTCTCTGTAGTTTACTGTTTCACAGCAATAAAATAAAATAAAATTAGCACTCATATTCGATTTTTTTATACTTATTTGTTTGGCTAAATCTAGGGAATAGTCAAATAATTGTAATTCATTTGTGTTACTCTGAATACTCGGCATTTGCATGTTTTGCTCGCAGATTCTAGGTTTTCGTTCCTATTGCGCTGACAGGGTTGGTGTTGATATTGGACAACCAACCTCTGCATCTCATCCGCAGGTGCTATTTCACAACATGCCTCTCGCTCCTCCCCGACATTTCCATTATATTTAAAAGAAGTTTAGTTACTTTCTGATTTTGCACCTAGGAAGGACAGATATGACGTGAGATAAATACAACATGCACGGGCACATGGATTTAACAAAATGTAGAAAATAGAAGACATGATTTGACTATGGTACAGCATATAAAATTAGCACAAAAGCACAAAACTCTAATCAATGTTTTAAAACTTAGCAGTACTGAATAAAATGCTATTATTTTTCTGACTATTACAGTATTTCCATTTGTGTTTAAATATGAATTGAAAAAAAAAAGGTAAAAAAACTTGTTAAGTGTAGCTAGGACTAGGAGTATTCAAAGTATCCATTAAGTGTTTGACACAGGTACGATAACTATTCTAAAGCGTCTGGGCTTCCTGGCTTGGGACTATATGCAAAGCTAGACTACTTGTTTCTATAGACTAATTAGCATTTTTTTTATGTTACATCTTTTTAGCTACTAAAAGATGGGGAGCTCACACCAGGCATATCTACTGAGGAATACATCCTAAGAAGAAAAAAATTATTGGAACTTCTCCCAGAGAAGAGTCTGGCCATCATTGCTGCTGCCCCAGTAAAGATGATGACGGATGTTGTGCCTTATACATTTCGACAAGATGCTGATTACTTGTATCTCACTGGCTGCCAACAGCCTGGTGGTGTGGCTGTTTTAGGACATGACTGTGGTTTATGCATGTTCATGCCAGAAGCTAAGCCTTATGTATGTTTTATATAGTATCTTCCTAAAATTAGAACTCTATTGTTTCTACTGGAACAGATTCTGCAATATTTATCTATTAACTTTTATTATTCATAAATTATGTAAATTGTTTGCTTATGTGTTAAAAAATTCTTCTATTTGTTTGTTAAATAAATATCCGATCCTTCATCTGATTATTGATAAAAAATCTATGTAATATTTCAATTGTTTTTTAATGATAGATTTAACCATCCAAGAATTTGGTCATTGTGTGTATGATTTTTCTCATGACTTCTTCAGAGTTATAGGATTAATAAGTTACAAATCTTGACGCTGATATAATTTTATAACCATAAATTTGTCTAGGATGTGATTTGGCAAGGGCAAATTGCAGGAGTTGATGCAGCGTTAGATGCATTCAAGGCTGACAAGGCATATCCAATGAGAAAATTGCATGAGGTGAATTGATGCTATCAAGTATTAAAAGCTTTTGCTTCTATAGAAATTATCTAGTCAACTATTCTTTCCTCTACACCTTGAATATTTCCCTCATTAAACCTACTGGGATACTGGCTACTGGCTGCCAATGTTGCCACTGCTTTGTAGCCTAAGATATGCATTTTCATCTCCTCGGTCAAATAATTACTTTGTTTTTATATGATGTTTTAATTTAACATTTTGATTTATTGATTCAGATCCTTCCAGATATGATAAGGGGTTCATCAAAATTGTTCCACAATGCTCAGACTGCAACTCCAGCATATGTGGAATTGGAAGCCTTCAAAAAGTTAGCTTACTGTAACAGTGTAAAAGATCTATCGGTTTATACCCATCAGTTGCGATGGATAAAGTCACCTGCAGAGCTCAAGCTGATGAAGGAATCTGCATCAATTGCTTGTCAGGTATTTTCAACTCTAAAACATGCATAACTGTTTGATGACTAAAAATGCAGTACTCCTCATGAGGCTGTTATATGCACACTTGGGAATTCTACCATTAGTTGGGTTTAGATGCAAATGGTAACCACTGGATAAGTTGAACACTTGAACATTTTCTGGTCTTGAATAGGCTCTTTTGTTGACAATGCTGCATTCAAAGACAAACCCTTTTGAAGGTATGCTAGCAGCAAAGGTGGAATATGAATGCAAAGTGAGAGGTGCCCAGCAAATGGGGTGAGCCTTTTATGGAATGATTTGACCTCTTTAACATTTTTTTCATGGGCAACTACTTCATGTATTGCTATTGATAATTTAAACATAGTAATAGAGAATTTCACTAATAGAAAGCAAATTCAAGTTTAAACATCATTTGTGTCCATAATTAATAATATAATATTTCTTTTCTTTTTCTCTTTATCAGATTCAATCCTGTGGTGGGTGGTGGGCCTAATGGAAGCATTATACATTATTCTAGGAATGATCAGAAAGTAAATTCATTTACTTATTGCTATCTCCTAGTATGTTGAATTTCATGTTTCTAAACTTTGTCATATGTTTGGAAGATAAAACATGGAGATCTTGTTTTGATGGATGTTGGGTGTGAGTTACATGGTTATGTTAGTGATCTTACTCGTACCTGGCCACCTTGTGGTAGCTTTTCTTCTGCCCAGGTTAGCATTATTTAAAGCCTTTAAGCAATTCTTTTCTTGAAGTAAAGTTATGTTTATATTCTTGATTTTTCTTGTCTCTTGATATTCAATTTATAAATCAAAAATAGTAATCTGAAAGAAGCAGATTGCATAGTCCAAATTTTCTATTGCAGACCTCATTCCATCATGGGGTGAATCATATGGATTCTCATTTATGCACATTTTTCTCTTCTCAAACATAATGCACTTCTTCTGTATCAATTTCTGTAAAGTGAGATGATAACTTCACTTTTGGTTCTTGTAATATGAATTTTTTTGTCTTGCTATGATAGGCTGAGGCTTTTCAACATTATACTTCATTTTGACATGAAATCTTATTTTTCCTTTCTAGAGGGTAGGGTGTCATGAGATTTCCATCTCAGAAAATAATTGGAAGTGTATGAGTATCTTGAAGTTGATTGGTAGTTTTGGTAATTGAATTTGTTCAGGACTACACTCCCAAGACTTGAGGGAAAAGGCATTACATCAGGTCAATGGCCTCTTGGTAAATACTAAAGAGTCAATTTCTCACTTAAAGAAGTTAGATGAAGCTTACCTCTAGTTGTGATTGAGGTTACAAACATGCTAACCACCTAGCTATATAAGGTGTACTGCAGAAAGAAAAGCAAAGGAAGCAGGGAATTAGAGGCACATGGCTATGACAGAAATATGAGTGGGGATTATTTTTGAGGAGTGCATTGTAATTTGTAATGACTTGCAGACATAGCAGGTGGGTACAGACCAAATTCTGTAAGTGAGATGGAATAATGAGAGAGGAAACAAGGAGGGATAAAGAAAGTGAGAATTGAGAAGGGAGGAAGCATGTGTCCAAGAGTCTTCACTGCCTCTGTCATTTTCCCTTTGAACCCCTTCTATTTTGTGTTTATCTTCAGTATTTGGTACAAACCCTTATTTGATACTGATATCACCAGCAGAAGAAGCAACTAAATGAGGTTTCTTCTATTAAACCTGTTCTAGTTCCAAGTTCCTGTTGACATACTTGTTTGAAATTTCAATAAACAACCAGAAGGCTTGCTCAATTATATGGAGCTTTGTGACAAAATCCTGAAGATGAGTATGACTCATTAATCAGTCATTATAGCCAAAATGAAGATTTCTGTAAATACAAATATGGTGAATTGTTGATATATGCTCTAAACAATTGGTTCATGCATGGGCGTTCAATTTGGGGTAGATTCTCTCTCTCCTCCTGGCCCTTTTCATTAGGGAATCAAATGTGCCTAATGCTTGAACCTGCCCACCAGAGGGGATTGAAACAATGTGATTTGAATAGGATTTTTCTCTGCTTTTGCTATTCTATGACATAAATGTTTGAAACTTCATTTTATCTCCTTATTCATACCCAGTGAAATCTGAGATGAAGTTAAATTGCTCAATCCAATGTTGCTTTGTTTTATTTGTCTCGTGACTTTTTCATTAAAATGTCATGGTTTCTTGTATATTTCAGAAAGAGCTTTATGCGCTTATACTGGAAACAAATAAGCATTGTGTGGAACTCTGTAAGCCTGGTGTCAGTATAAGGCAAATACACAACTATTCGGTATTTCCTTTTTCTTAATTCTTTTATGATTTGCTGGTGATGTAATAGAGTAATTGTCATTCATGGCCTTCATATAGTAGCTTAAGCTTATAGGAGAGCTGGTGATTGTCATGGTATTAGAGACTTAGAGTCTCTATGACATGATCTAGACTTTAATCCTTGCCTCCCTCATGCTTCTAAATGAAAGTTGAATTTCATCTAGTAGCTTAAGCGTATAGGAGACTTGGTGAGTGATACAATTGATAGTCATTATGATCTGAATCTGCATATGTTTTCTATTATGCTTTTTTTTTTTTTTTTTTTTCACTTCATGATGGGATTTAGAGGAATAAGCAGTACTTCAGTAATTTATCAAAATTATGACATTATTTGGGAAATGTTTAACAGAGCATAGAATCTTATGGTTATTAAGTAAAAACAAACCAGCTAATAGCGATTTACCTCAACATATATTTGGTAATAATATAGCATTATTAGTATGTGCAACTGCATATTTTAGAACTTTTGGATTGAACAAAATATTGCTTGTGATTGTTTCTATTCCAGTATAAGCAAACAGATACTAAATTATGGTTGACCTCAAAGTGGATGTTGACTGTTGTTTTATGTGGGACTAAAGCCTAGATTTCTCTTAGTATCCATTTTTTTATGGAGAAACATTTGTGAATCTTAGCTTTGTCATATGACTAATTTTATTCTTGATCAGTTGGGGAGGTACATAAGGGAGGGAGAGCAGAGTGGATTCAAATATCTCTGGTTTCTGTTTAGGTTTGTAGAAAATGTCTAGGTTTGAAGGTATCTATCACTTGACAGTAAATTCTGTCTCAAGATTTTAAATGGAATTGAATCTGTAAATACAAACCTTCGTTTTTCATTATTGTTCCCCTGGAAAACACTTTCAATATTTACTTTGCCCTGTGCACTAACACTGTCATGATCACTAACACCCAATAGAGTGTTTTAATGCCGTGAATATCTCCTTGATAGACTCTTCTATGTTTGTTGAGTGTCATCTTGCTTTTTCTTTTCTTTTAAATACTATATTATTGTTTACTCAACTAGCTGCTTGTAGCTTCTTCAGTTATAAAATAGTGAAACATGTTAAATGGTCTGGTTGCATAGGTTGAAATGCTGAAGAAAGGACTCAAAGAGGTAGGAATCTTGAGAGATGTTGGAAGCAATTCCTACAACAAGCTGAACCCAACCTCTATAGGTAGCTTTGTGGGCAAATCTTGTCACTGACAGAGCATGCAACATCTGGCCTTGAGAAAAATTATTATTTTAGAGATTCATAATTTAGTTTGAGGTTTAAAAACAACAAATTATAATGGTAGCTAACAGAGACTGGACATCTAATCATGTTTTAACGATCCAGGTCACTATCTAGGAATGGACATCCATGACTGTTCAATGGTCAGCTTTGACTGTCCTCTGAAGCCAGGTGTTGTAAGTTGTTTCCTTGACAAGCAGCAGTTTCATTTTTCAATTTCTATAAATTTGAGATAATTTCTACCACTGGAAGATAATTGCTTGTCACTTTCAGATGTGTGTAGTGAAGATTATTGTTTATTCCCATAAAATTACAATGCAGTTGTTTTTGTTAATAAAGATGAGAATATGGACAAGTTGATATAATAGGAAGTTTTAAATTTTCAATATTTATGAAACAACAAATTATTAGACAATGTAGTTTCTGCAAACTATTTTTTTTTATGTTAATTCCCCACTTTATTTTGCAGATGTTTAAAGAAATTCCATCCTCAATACTAGTGATTATAAATAATAGTCTGCAATTCTTGCATTCTCATAACCCAAACCAACCCTAGAGGTAACAAAAAAGTAAATAAAAATATCACTTATGGAAAGAAGATAATGTGTGTTCTAAAAGGAAGTAACATAATGGAGAGAATGAATTCATTCTGCAGTTCTAGTTCTACCCACTCTGTTAATAAACAATTTAGTGCCTGTTAGGAAGGTACTTCAATCTGTTTAATACCATCATTAATTGATTTCAAAATCAACCATATGATACTGAAGTGTCTCTTTAAATGAATATTGTTGAATGTACCCAATTACTGTTTTCTAAACATAGTTTGCACCTAAGGTATCTATTATTGGTGTCTATTCAAGTTTAAAAGGCATATTCATTTTATAAAGTACTGGTTCTGCACTTCCTTCACTTTCTGTTTTATTTTAAAGTTAATGTAGTGATTTCTAAAATTCACCTTTTGTTCCAAATTTTGAAAATTTACATGCTGGGGCACTTTGCTGGTGATTATCACCACATATTTTATGTAATGAAAATTCAAGGTAATTTCTGGCATAATTCTGAGTACGTTTATTTTTTGCTGGGCGAGGAATTAGGTGGTGGATATACCTAGTTTTAGACAATCTCATTGAAGTTTGGTTGACTGCTTGTGTCGACTTGTCCAGTATGCTTTATAGATGCACATGGACATTCATAATGTGTAGTTGACAGCCTTTTCCCTTTTAATGTGTGCAGGTAATAACTATCGAACCGGGAGTGTACATCCCATCATCTTTTAATGGTCCAGAAAGGTACTTATTGAGGCTGATTAAAGAACTTGTTTTAACAAGTTGATTATTACAAATTGAAAATTTCCATTGGTTGCTCCTGTTGTGCAATTTTACCCTGGTTTACCAGCTATTTCTACAAAACATGCCAATTCATTGGACTTCCCTTCCATTGAATAGCTTCAAGAATTTTGCCTTTCTTTTTTCCTTCCAAAATTTTGGTGCATTTACTAGTATGCTAAAGCTTGAGTTGGGTAATCCTGATTGCTTCTAACTTCCAAGGATATTTAGCACTGTTTTCCCAGCATGCTCGTTTTCTTTTGGAATTTCTCTGGTCTTTTTTGATTCCATCAAATGCGAGTGACAATAATGAGAATGAGTGGAGAGTTTGTTTGATAGGAATTTGCAATGAGACTTGTTGCATAGGGAGTTTTTATTCAATCAAAAGAGAGAATACATTTGCATAGGGACTTTCTGCACTTCCATCGTAGCCCCATCGCTAAGGTAGTTTTGTCATATAAAATACATTTTATCTACTCATTTGATTTGGCTGACCAAGTATGACTGCTCATATTTTATCTATCTAATGAAATGACTATTCCATCCATTCCCATTTGCATTGCTTTTACAACCAGTCCATTGAACCCACTGGGACCTGAAGTTCTACATATGTGTAGCTCTTCAATTATTTAATCCATCAAGAAATGCGTGTCCATTCCATTGTTACTTCAGATCTTGAACTTCTTATTTGGGAATTAAGAATCATACTTGTTAAATTAATCTGTTTCAGTTGCAATATCAATTGTACATTGCTAACATAACATGAATTTTATTTCTTTCTCATCTGTATTCTAGTAGTCATTCACTGTCTGTAACTCCCATTACGGCATTTAATTAATCTCAATATTTGTTTAACATATATTCCATGTGAGCGTTTTTAAGTTCAGTCTTCAATCTTTGCATTAAATGTTTCTGTTACATGTATGATACAATCAATTGTGGAAGATGTCCAATGCAGGTATCGAGGTATTGGCATAAGGATTGAGGATGAGGTTCTCATCACAGAAACAGGTTATGAGGTAATTTCTTTAAAAGTACTGTAATTGAAACTAGCATATTAATTTGTGCAGCTAGAGAAGGTGCAGACTGCGCTTCTTCTGAGCGGTAGAATAACATGTGTATTACCATTGTAATAGAGTTTTTTTAAAAGGAGAACAACAAAATGAAGTCTCTGATAAACGGAACCACGAAAAACTAAATTACAATTCGAGCATATACTTTATCCTTAAAAAATCAACTAACCACTTGCGCATATAAAACTGTTGCTAGCTGTCAAAATTAGATAATTCTTTACTCAGCATCAGCTAAACTTTTTGGTTTCATCTAGATTTTGACGGTTGAAACAGTTGTTGTCAAAGCCAGCCAAACTTTTAATGTCATAATGCATGGTTGAGTGATACACATCTTTAGTACCCTTGTTTTTTCAGGATACCAGTGGCCTTGATGAGTAGTCAAGTATTTTATCTGTTGTTGGTTCTCACAGTAAGCCTTCGAAATCCATAAAGTATGAGATTTTCTTTGGCTAACAAAGAAACATTTAATGATAACTTACAGAAACCAATAAATACTTGCCCTCTAATTAGGAAATTGGTAGCCTAGAAAATAATCAAGGTACCAGAGTAAACCCCATCAGTGGTCGTGTCATTAATAGGAGTTAAATCCTTAGAATATTTATCAATATATGTGTATGCGTAGCGAGAGAGATTTTAGATGAAGTTTTTATGTGTTTGTGGTGATGTCCGTTAATAAAACCATAAAATATATTATAATACACGCAATGATGTTATTGGATATCGTTAACTAATATTATGCAAAAACAGGTCTTAACAGCATCAATTCCAAAAGAAGTGAAGCAAATTGAATCATTACTAAACCACTGCCTCGGAATTGGAGTGGATAGCCAAAATAACATGAGAGCCACATCAAGTTGATATTCCCCATTCGCATTCAAGAACCACCACGACATTGAATCCTTGAGATGTGATGGCATGGGCCTAATTCTAGGAGCGGTTACGTTTTTTATTTATTTATTTCAAATCTTTTAATTTTCGTTTCCTGGATATTAATTTTTAACCTCTTTGACGTCGAAATAAACAAAAGAAAAGAAAGGGGCGGGGGGGTGTCTGCCATTGATTAGGCTTGGATTGGTCCTTGATTTTAAGTGCTATTGATCATTTCCTGTCTGGTATCTCATTGTTGTAACTTGTAAATGATAGATCATATCATCAAATGGTGAGTACAGATAAACCTTTCACAGCAGTTGGAATGTAATTTTTTACCCAAATTTTATGACAAATATATTAATAATCTTTACAAACCCTATATTAGAAGATTTGATTTACTAAGCATAATAATTGCTTTTTTGTTATTTATCTATTTCTAGAGCAGAAATTGCATAGTTTATAAATCAATCATTTTATTAAAATTAATTGCTATTGTTCTTAATTCACTCTTTCTCAGTGATTTTATTTTGACTCTTTAAGACTTTTTTAATAATATAAATATTTTATATGAACAAAAGTGTATTAGTTAAAGAATAGTATTTAATATTGACTTGAATTTTTATATGGACAAATAAGCAGGATTTTTTCTGTTTGAGAACATAAATAAGAATATAAATGATATATAAAATAATCAGTTAGGTGCTAGCTCTACAATTTAAAATAAGATATATAATATGATGTCTCAGACTACTAATCAACTAAAGGATTGGTTCATTTTGAAGAAACATGAAGTGGCTTCATATAAACTAGAGAGATAAACTCTTTAGAAAGGCGGGAATGCGTGTTTTTGCCTTAGGTTGTTTCAAATCATTAAAAATGATTTTATTTGATTTGTAAATTATTTTTATGTTTAGACCTCATTACAAAAATAAAATATGAATTAATATGAAAAATCAATCCTTATGTTTGGGATTCATTAAAAAAATATTTGATTTCGATTTACATGTAATATATAAATTACATGTAGAGTGAAGGACAAAATAGTCCATTAACTCAAATCAAATTACTAAAAATATTACTACTTTTACAAAAAAAAATTTATTTAAACCATTGACCTTAACGTGATTTTAACATCAAATAAATTCTTACATTTTAACATTTCGAATAAATTTGATTTATAAATTAAATATTGTTCTTGTTTGCATTTGAAGGACACTAAAAAATAATAATAAATAAAATTTTAGGGTTTAGAATTTAAGTAAAGGGATACAATAAAATAATACTCCTTCCAATCCAAAATAATAGCCACTTCAGCAACTTTTATTTTCTTTAAATTGTTTGTAATTTTATAATTTTAATGATACATTATAACTTTTTTTTCCAATTTTACCTTTTATATAATTATTATGAAAGTTTTGAAAAGTGTAATAATTTTATTTTCTTAACAACCACTTACTCTTTTCTTTCACCGTCCATTTATTATTTCAGTAATTTTTAAAAAGTTGTTTTAGTAGGTATTTTAATATTTTAAGGACTTAAATTCTCTTCAGTTTGTCTAAGAATAAGACATTTAGTCCAAATTTTGCTTAAGCAAAAATTAGAAAAACGATAAAATATTTTTATGTAAAATTAGCTTAAGCAAATTTTGCGTCTTACTTCTCTAATATTTTATTCTCCCTCTTCTTCATGCTTAATGCTTCTTTTGGAACATTCATATTCAACTCTCTTCATCCTCCTCTCATATCCAACTCCTCTTTTTCTTCCTCAACTCTCTCTTCATCCCCTTGTTCCATTGGAATAGATGTTCGTCACTGTCGAACTACATAAAATATAATTATTATATGTGCAAAATATTTGAAATTTTTTCACATAATAAAAATGGATTCAATCAGAATATTTAGCAGACATTTTATGTCTTTTACTATTAGCTCACAAATTCTAAAATATTATTTGGGACCAATCCCATTTACAAGTTGAAAAACATAAAAAAGAACATTCTTCTCAGCAAATAAGGCAGATATGGAGAAAAGAGAGAAATGTGGGTGTGAGGATAAAAAGAAGAGAAAAGTTGAGTATAGGATGAAAGTGTGGTGGGAGTGAGAGAAGAAAGAGTTGATAGAGGAAAAGAAAAGTTAGATATGAGAGGAGAATAAAAAGAGTTATTAAGCATGAAGGAAAAGAGGAAAAACAAAAGATTAGAAGAGGAAGATGCGAAATTCGATAAAAATCTTTTTTAAGCTAAGAAAGAGAAAAACAGAAAATTAAAAGGATTTTTTTTTGCACTAAGATAAAATAATGAGTAAGAAAAAAAATAAAATTTATATTTACCTGGTGAATGATGTTTACTAAAATTTAAACCAATTTAATTTGTTTTCACGCAAAAAAAAAGCTTTTGACATAATTTGTTTGCACTATCGTTTATTGAATGAATAAAACAATGGTTAGTATTGATAGTGTGCAAAATAACTCCATTTTAGGATATCAAAGTAATCATCGTCTAAAACAATTTTGTATAATAATAAAGAAAAATAGATTACTTTTTCATTTTGAAATAATTACTTTCTTTATAAATATTTAAATACTTGGCAATAACTATAAGTGGGATAGCATTAATGAATATCCTTAAAATATTGACTAATAAAAAAATAATATTTTATGTAAAATATATTAAATACTTATCAATAAACATCTTTTAAAATAATTAATTAAATATTTTCTTATTAACTTCAGTACTTATAACTGACTTTAAACATATAATAACAATACTTTTTATTAAACTAAAATGCAAGGTATGCTTTTTAAATTATTGCAGTTCTAATGTAATAAATATTCAATGTTTTTAACTTTAATCATAAAGATGAGTTTAAAATTTAATAAACAGTAATTTTTATTAAAAATATAACGTTTACTATACTTTTTTATATTCTTAAAATAATAAATATTTTTTATAAATAAATGATTACCACTTTTAGTAGCTTATTTTTTATTTTAAGGACTGATATTAATATTTTTTAATTCAACTTTAAATATTGATGTTAATAAAATTATTAATTAAAAATTTATTATAAAAAAAGAGTAAAGGGAATTAAAAAAATATATGTTTTTATTAAAAATATTAAATATACTCACTTCTATGATTTGTTTTTAATATAAGATAATATAAATTTGAAAAAAATTATTTATTAAAATTTTAACTAATATATGTAGAATACCTGAAAAAAATTAGAGCAAATTAAATATGATGTGAGGTGTGTTGGAGAAAGGCGAGGCAGATGATGGCTTCTAATCCGATCATTTTCATAAAAAATAAATACGTCACCTTCCCAACTGTATTACTAGCATTTGCATTCCCCTTCGCATCTGTTCCAACCAAACACAAGATGTGTTTATTTTGCATTTAATTTTCAACCGTATCATAAAGGCAAGATGCGTTTCATGAAATTTCGACTATAAAAGGTGAAAGAAAATGAACGATAAATATTCAAGGAAGGACATATAGTCAACAATAAGGTGCTATTTCATCCATATTAGTTAAAAAGTTAAAAAATAATTTTTTTTATTAAAGGTTATGTTGTGACATATCAAGAATTATAATGAAGATATTAATATTTTTTAAATAAATGTAATTATTTTAAAGACACTATTTAATATTGTCTTATTTATTTTTAAATTAAAATGGTATTTGTCAAGTCTCTCTGATAAGTTGTCACATTTATTGTCACTCTGTCAACTTTTATGACTCTTGGTTATATTTTCTTGATATTATTGAATATTTTACTATACCTTTCTCACATTACTTGATCCATGAAGTATGAATAACGTGGCATCTTAACTTGTTAACGATCAAGTTATTAATTTATTTCAGTAGTCATTGGTGAAGAAATAAATAATATCGTTCACTGTAATTAAATGAATCGTTTGAAAAATTAGGCATGCTGTAAAGTGACCCGAAAATTCTTATTAATTAAATTACTAAAGATGATAAATCAATAATCTAAGTGGCACTTCTTAATATTGAAAACCACCACATTTATCTGATACCGTCACCGTGTGTTTATAATAACTTAGTAAAAAGCCTGTAAGTACGTAGATACGGGGCACCAAAACACGAGCTACAAGATCAACAACGCCAATGCTATTTTAACACTCAAAATAGATGTCTACACTTAGACATCGGATACATTTGTATGTTAAAATAATTAAAATAGACACTCATTTGCGGTATTAAAACCGAATTGTTGTTTTGTATAATAACGATAATCCTCTTAAAATAGAAAATTTTGATATAGCTAAAAATGAGCAAGAGAAAAATACCTGCCTCAAAAGCAATTTAATAAAAAATACTTTTCATTTATATATTCTTTACAATTTTTTAATGTGTGTCCAGTAACACAATAATAATTTATGTGTGGTAAAATTTTATTAAAACTCAATCACATAATTTAATGTGTTTTTAATATTAAATATTATAATTTTTTTAAAAATTATTAACTATTAATTTTTTATTATTTACTCTTGAAGAGACTTTAGAAAACTAATATATACTCCTTAATACAATCGTAATTGTTGACGACGGTGGCATTTAAGGTACACGTTTTCCCTACCTTATACCTTAATAGTGTGCAACTACACAACGTAGTAATAGAAATAAATGGCAGCATGGCACATTATGATTGTGAAAGACTGTGGCATTTGTTGAAGTTTATGAGAAAAAGAAGGGCAATGTGATAGAATTAGAACTATATCAACCCACCTATCTTCCTTGACCCCTCACTTATCCGCAACATATCAGAAAAAGAAACACAACAAAGAAAACATGTCTCTAGTCACAGCTGAGATCAAAGCCAAATCAGAGGTGTACCATGGAGATGAACTCTGCCAAGAAAAGACCAAGTTTTTGCTGAAGGAAGTAGGGCTACCCAATGGCCTTTTGCCCTTGAAAGACATAGAAGAATGTGGGTATGAAAAGGAAAGTGGGTTCGTGTGGCTTAAGCAGAAAAAGGCCATAAACCACAAGTTTGAGAAGATTGGGAAGTTAGTGTCTTATGCTCCTGAAATCACTGCCTATGTTGAGGTTGGTAAGATAAAGAAGCTCACTGGTGTGAAGGCCAAGGAGATATTGGTTTGGATCACACTGAATGAGATCTTTGTTGATGATCCACCAACTGGCAAAATCACGTTCAAAAACCCTTCAGGGCTTTTCAGGACATTCCCAGTCTCAGCTTTTGAGATTGAGGAGCCAGTTAAGGATGTCAAGGAAGAAAACAAGCAAGTCACACCAGTCCCCAGTGTTGTTGCGGTCAGAGAGGTTTGATTCCGACTAGGTTGCTCGTTTGGAGTATTCTTATAATAATAACTATGTTTTATAGCGTATTTAAATCTTGCATTAAGTCGTTACCAAAAAACAAATCTTGCATTAAGTTGTCATCGTTTCCTTTTCTTGCTCCATAGCTAGGCTTGTAGTATCAGCTTCATGGATTTAGCACCTCCTTGCACTATAATAGAAAAAAAAAAAAAAAAAAAGAGCAAAATTTATATTAAACCTTGTTCTCTCAAATTTCTAATATAATTTCACAATTTCTTAATAATTTAAAATGGACCCATCACTTTCCGTTAGAGGTTCAGTATCTTGTAGTGCAGGTATAAGTACGTAGCTCTGATAATCATGCTAACAAATTTTTTTAACGTGTGGTTAAGGCATATATTAAAAAATACTAAGTAGACGTATTATATGTATTATTTTTGTTATAATTTTAGAATAATAAATATTTTAATTTTTAATACGAGAATTTTATTTTAAACGTTTTAACGTGTCACTTTAAATGTACGTTAAAATATTATAAAAATAATAATAATTGTGCCCAGCTAAAAATATAATGAAAATAATATGATATTCAAAATTGCAACCGGTTTACCAAAGATCGATGAAGCCAATCTCTGGGCTGTTTTGGGCCTTTTCTTTATTTTAAACATTCTACTTAAAAATGTGAGGTGATGAGCGAGTTGATCTTGAATATTATGTTTTCATTGAAAAATTAAAATATAGTTTTAATAAGTTAATCATTTGATTAAATATTGTTTTTTTATTCTTCTGTTTCTTATGCTCTTTCCTGCCTTCTCCGTTAAATTTTCTCCCTAACGAGATATGCGACGGGAGAATGAAATGTATAGACAACAGAGAAGTCCATTGATATGTGTACCATTGAGCATTTAGCAAAAACAAAAAATTGATACCTCCTTATATTTCAACATGATCCCGATAAAAATGAAACAAATAGTTCATTTTAATATATGAAAAAGGCAACACTTCAAAAGCAGATTTAAAAAAAGTTTCATAAAAACGAGGATCGATCAGTAATCTATAGACATGTTAAAACAATCCTTTAGTTTACTTTATTACTGTTTATTTTGGCCACAGATATTAATAAACTTTCAAATATTTATTGGATACTTATGATGTTTAATAAAGTTCAAATGTTTATTGACAACCAAATGTCAAAACAAATAAAATGATAATACAAAAAAAAATTAAAAAATAAAAGAAGTAATGAGCGATCTGTAGCTTAATAGGTATTCTAGGTCTCCTTTTGAGATGTTTTAATTTGCAACATAAAGAGAAGTATTCTAGGTCCCTAACAACACCCGTTCTATTCTAGTTGTCGTGAAAAGAAAAGGTCACGAATGAAAGCAACAGATCGAACATTTTTTTTATAGCAATCGCATGCTTTTCACCACGTCAAACTGAGAGAAATAGAAATACAGTAAGAAGTCACAAAATAAGCCCAAATGGTATTCGAGAATTATGAGAACTACCCATAAGCACGAGTTGCAATTCCGAGAGTGTGTAACAAAAGCATCTCAAGATTTTTCTGACCTGTAGCGGGTATACTAATTCAAATGTCAATGTCAGTGCCTAATAACTACATAATCCGGATCTAAAATGGCCATTAGCATATCAGGCTTAAATGAGCTCTAAGTTTTGAATCGTGCAAACTAGGAAGTCCTAAAATGTACGGAGATTTACTTCTCATTATTGCAGTTAGTAAGAACCCAGACGAGAGTGACTGAACTGGTAGAGGGATTTTTCTTATATCCCTAGCGATCTTCAGTTATCACAACATCAACGCCTGAAAAAGTTTAATCCAAAGGCATTTCAAGGTTAGGATCTTCTTGATGAAAAATATTTTTGCATGCTCAAGAGTCAAGACTAAAAGGTTTAGTAATTTGAAATGCTAGGGTACATCAATTGCTCACCTTCCTTAGCTTGAATAAGTGAATTTTAACCAAATACAGACCATCCGTCGTTGACAGCAGAGGTAATGACTATCATGCCAAGAAATAGCTCTTCTAAACTGAGTTTGTTTGTGAAGTATGTAAGGGTATCTACTCTTAAATTTTAACGAGATAAGATTTTGATGTATTTTAAACTAAAGATAAATCATAAAAACCTTTGTCCATCATGTCAACATAAAATTGAGCAAGTTATTGATGGGATACTATAATTTGATTGACATTTATGTATGACCTAACACTGCTAGTGGGCAATCCACTGGTGTGCTGCCAAACCAAACTTCTATTTTGAGTTTTTGACAGATTCGTAACTTTCAAATATTATGCATTGCTGGCAAGACAAAGATATTTAGTTATTTACCAATCGACTGTCAATTTTTTGCTTCACTCGACTCTTTATTTAGTTATTCATCCCTTATTTTTTTACATGCACATCCCTAAACCCATTATTATCTCAGCCAACAACATCATTGTCGGAGGGGGATGCAAAACTAAAGCCAACAGTAATATAGATGCAGAACATACTTGGAGCAAGTCTGGATATTGACGCAAAAAAACTTGAAAGTCTGTAATTTTGGACCACAAAAGCAAGTAGCCGAATATGAAATGAATATTCAACCTACTGTGTTTATTTGGGGTACATTCCAACCTACTATGTTTAATCACTGCTTAATTATCCCAATCACGTCATTAAATGCAAACTTGTTTCCTGAGAAGCTATCAACATCAAAATATCTACAAGGTGCCTCAGTCTCTTAATGTGATTCCTAAGAGGTCCTAATTTTTCAAAACACAATTCAACCCCCTCCCTTTCCCCTCCTTCCAGCAGGGAAGGAAACCCAACACACTCCCAAAGATTTAAAAGAGGACCATAAGCTGTTATGAGAAGCAAACGCTAATTTTAAGAGGAAGTTCCAATGTGCATACTTGAACACTAAAAAAACATTGCAGTGATGATAGTCATACCTTGGAAGGCATGACCCATTTGCCATCAATCCAGTCTTGATGCATCCTCAAGTGGGAGTGCTGAAACTCTAGTTCTTCATTAGTGGTCCTGAAATACACTATATACCTCCAATCATCAAGAACTTTAGAAATCACACCGATCCACCAACCATCATTGTACAAAGCATCAACCTCATCAAGAAGACTGAATTGATCAATAACACAAGTGTCTGGCGGATGAGGCCTTATGTGCAGAACATCAACCTCCTCTTTCAAAAGCTGGGAATCATCATCAGCCAGTAGATTCTGGTACTCAACAATGAACTTCACATTTCCCATTACCTCAACAATAGTGGCAGCAAACCAAGCTCCACTGAACCCGTCTTCGTCACTGCTAACCTCAACTAGTTTTCCTACGCTAAACACATCCTCCTTCACAGTTTCAACAGACTTCACATTTGGCAGCGTCAACTGCATTTCCTTCAAATCATTATCCTATAATTAACAACATCATCAAATTAACATACAGTTTTCCTAACGTAAATCTATATATAGTAAGTTTTTATTGAAATTCCCGCGATATCACAAGATCCAATGTATTACTTACATTAAATGCAAAAATTTTCAATAAAAAATTTATTATTTATTGATTTCTTATTAAGTTTCCTTATACACATGGGCGTAAAATATCCAACAACAACAACCAAGCCTTATCACACATTAGAAAATCCAATTAACATATATGCAATTAAGCCCTAGAGTTCTCCCTAATGCAGAAAATGACAACAAAATTAGGATCATATTGGATTGATGTATGCCTGTTTTTGTGATTGTTGAATTGGTGGGACCCAATTGAAATTGAGCCACTCGCGATGGAGCCTCAGTCGCTCCTTTGGAAACACCAATTGCTCTCTAGAGGCTCTGAAATACACTGCGAACCTTTCATTTCCCAATTCTTGAGTGATGTGGCCCTCCCACCAGCCATCGTTGTGGAACGCGTCCACCTCCTGGCCGAACTTGAATTCCCGGCCGGTCTCCGACGGGGGAAGTGGCCGGAGGTGGCGGAGATTGAGAACTTCTCTCAGGCGCTTCGAGCTTTGCTCGTCTTCCATCAGGTTGTCGTACTCGACAAGGAAGCGGTCGGACGCGAGGCGACGGATGACGATGCCAGAAAACCAAGAGCCGCGGAAGCCGTCGTCGTCGGAGCTGACTTCCACGGCAGTGCCCGGTTTGAAGAAGGCTGAAGCGGAGGAGGGAGAGGTGGGCGACCCGGATTTGGGCTTGCGCTTGGGCTTGTGTTTAGACTTGGGCTTGGTTGCCATAGCTTCCCTTCCCGTTTTAGGGTTTTAGGGTGGGGGGGGAATTGTGATCAAAGAAATTCAAAACGCATTGGGAGAGTGTGTCATTTATAAGAGCGTTTGGCGGGAATGTGAACGGACTTGTCCCTATTTCATCGCGCACTACTCACACATCATTAATTTCTGTTTTCAAATCACTTCAGTACAAGACAACAAACAAACACGAAAATCATATCAGCAAATTACTATTGTTTCAGTTCAGTTAACAAGTCTCTGGAAATGTTTATATATAATCAAACATTAAAAATTAATAAAAAAATAAAAATTATTATAAATTATAATATTTCATATTATTAATGTATTTGATCTTATAGTTATAATAAAAATTTATATAATGTGTTTTTGAGCACATATAAAAACTTTATTTTAGAATAAATATTTTTTATTTATAACTATACTTTTAATTAAATTTATTAATATAAATTTTTTTAGGTTTTCTTTTTTGCAAGTGCATTATTATTGAAAATAAAATAAAAAAAGAAAGAAATTTTAATATTTTAATTGAAGAGAAAGTAAGAACAAAAATTCAAATTTTATCTTTAAAGTTAACCTTTTTATTTTTTTATTATTATTTTTCTTCTAAACAAAAAAAGAATATACCATAATTCAAATATTTTTTTCTCTCATATAAACTACAAATAAGAAAATAAAAACTATCATAAAAAAGAGCACCATCTAAAAGCTTGTTTGTTTAAAGAAAAAAACACTAAGTTTATACACATTTTATATGCTAAAGACTATGTTTAGTACCAAATTATCTCAAAGGAAAAAAAATTAATATAAACTAATTTTGTTGAGAAACAGAGATACAAACAGCTCTTAAATCACACATAAGCATCAAACACCCAAGTCTAACCTAAAACATATTATAAATACAAAAATTATTTTGGTTGAGATCATGGTAACAAATAAGGATATGATAGCAAAAACAAATCAATCGTTGTATTAAACATTTATGCTATTGAATTTCTAAGCAATATTTCAACAAGCAAGATAAAACCATTTAATGGTGTACTTGACATATAAAAATTATAGATTGGACATAAAAAAATAAACAAACAAAACATGAAGAAATTCAAAATTAACTAAAAAGAACAAGTAACAAATTCAACACTAGAGGGGCAAAGTAGGCAAGAATAGTAAGTAAAGAGTAGATCATACATGTTAACGAGTCCCATGATTTACTTAGTTTATTTGTATTTAGGCTTGTCAACATAAGAAGCCCATTAGAGTTATATTTATGTTGGTTTATAAACATTAGACATAGATAAGCTATTGTAAACACACTTTTAATTACTTTTAAATGCAATTTGAGATTAAACACTCTTGTGAGAGTGTGTGATAAATTTGTATTTCAACATGTTTTTATAGCATATATATTGATGAATGATCATTATTTTACTTGAGTTTTACATTAATTTTTATTATTGCTGTGCAGATTAATATAAGAATGTCACAACTAGGTTTTTATTGCATCTTGGACCTAAATTGGTTGAAAAATAAGGCTTTATTACAGTTAGCATGCCTAGACCCCACCAGCCAGCATGAGAGTGCTTCGACCATATGCATGGCCATGTTTATGGCCTTGTACGACCATGTTCATCTGCGGGAAGTCCAACTTGAAAATTTTTTAAGGTTTTCAAACCTTATTAAAAGAGACATTGGGGGCAGTGACTTAGAGACTGTTTTACACTTTACACATCGCATCCCTTCTACACTTTTCACACATCTCTTTCACATTCTCAACCTCAATATTGGCCAATTGTGGTGACTATTGGAGTTTTGGGAGTGCGTCTGATCAAGAGCTCTCATCATCTCTTCTTCATTGGAAACTCCTATAATTTGCGCTTACTTTTCAAGTTTTATTGATTTGTTTAGTGTTTTTTTTATTTCCTTTTATATTATGTCTAGTAAAATCTATAGCTAGGGCTCTGGTGAACTCTTTGCAGGACTTTATGAGATTTTTTTTATTAATAATAATTTCACATTTTCTTTCTTAATTGGTGTTTACCCTATTGGGTTATATTTGTGTGTTTAGAATTGACAATTCTTAAATATATCATAATTAATTATATCGTAAGCAACTGTACCACATATAGTCAGTGGATTTGTAATATAAAACAAGACGAAGGAAAGTAGGCAGTAGCAAGACTACTAAATGAAATGTAGAATGTAAAGTACAGAAATATAAAGCTGTAAAATTAAAACATAAGAAACTAGAACGGCGGTAGAACCGACACAGATCTAGTGGAGGGAGAAGGGAACAAAGCTGGACGATGGTAGTCCGAACTAAACCAGCTAAGAGGGAGAAGAGAGGAAAATGATCTTAAAACAGCAAAATTTTATTGAAAGATCTCAAGAGATAGGCTTACAATGATGGTATCACTCAAAGCTTCTCTCTCTAGAACTTCTCTCTATGTTGCTAAATGAAAGGGTACCTCACAACATGGTTGATGCCTCCTTATAAAGAAAAAAATTAAGATACTATTTGTATAGTTCTGGTATATAACTGGAACTGTTTCTACAGAATAGGTCATAATTCTTGTATGTCTATTCCGAAACAATCATCTTCATTTTGATAAAAATCGTCATCTTTGTTAGGATTTAACTCTTGTTTAAAAGATTCAGCTTCATCTTGATTTAAAAGAAGAAGAACTTCTTTTAAGTTTTTCTTCATTTTATCTTTGGAATCACATCCTAATAAGAAGACGGCAATTTTTGCTTTCTGATTCAAAAATTGAAATGTTGCTGGATCAGCAAGCTTCAAGAGTTTTGGATTGTTTCCAAAAAAACTCATTAACTCCTTGTGGTCCAGCATATTCTGCATTGAATTGGTTCCATCATTTCACAAAAGCATGCCTGTGAATCATGGGAAGGATGTCATCATCTTCTGTCTTGCTATACCTGTACTACCATGAGAATACCCAGGCCATAGCAAATGCAGAAAAATACTTAAGATCTACACCGATTCTGTTGGGAGCATATATATTTTTGAAGATTTCAAACCCTTCTTTTACTGGAGAGGGAAGAATTGCTTCTAATGGTCCAAAGAAGTCCCACCATTGAAGGAACCAGTTAGGGAAATTGTAATTTTGATTTTTCTTGAAATAAATCAACCAAGAGTGTCGATTGAGTTTATTCTGGAACCAGAAAGTTCTTGTTCAGGCATCTATGTAGTCCCAGTAATTGTATCCTACTGGATCAAAAGGTTGGGAGAATTTTTTGAATGAATTTGGATCTTTTCCAAAACTCTTTGGCGACAGAATTTTTAAAATCTATATTGTAGAATGAGTAATTATTGAAGGATCTTTTTGGTCCTTGTAATGTTTAATAGAGACCGAATCTGAATCTATTAAAATGAATTCATAAAATTGTCTGGTCTTATTCAAGGCATATGGTCTAAAATGAAAACCAGGAGAGAAGGCTTTGGTGATGGCTTTATATGGATTTTTGTCCCAAAATTCGGGTTCCATTTGGATGACAGAGGAGAATTTTCCTTTTGCCATGTAATGGCTGGCATTTGAGGTTTTACCCTTTTGAAGACTAATAGCTTTATCTGTTTTATCAGGGAGACTTATTGTCTTTTGTGATTGATTGAAGGACTGGATAATGGTGTTTAGGTTTGCTAAATCAATTTTCATGTCTTCATTTGAGGCAATGTCATCCTAAGATTTCTTTGGTAGGCTGTTTAGGCTACCTTGTTGTATGGCTAGAAGTATATTAACAGGGAAAGCATAGTCTATTTTGGTTTGTTTAACACTCTTCGTTTGTGATTGGGAAGAATCAGCCTTGTTGGATGAGTCTTTTTTAGGAATCACAAATTGCTGAGTAGATGACTCTACAATCTAGATGGCTTTCTAGGTGGATGACCTAGTCGGAGTGGATGACTCCGAAGAATTGGAACCAGAGTCTGTTGTGACAGACTTTGATTTTGTTTTGTTAAGAGTCAGGGCGAGCCTAACTCTTCCTCCTCTGGACGAACCTCCCCTAGAAGGGGTCGTTGCCTTTCTAGGCATTCTACTTATCCTGTAAATATTCACGAGTAAGGTAGTCAGAAAGGGAATTGGAAGTGCCTTTGAGATATTCTATATCAAAATCAAAAACACTTAAAATTGTTTGCCATCTTGCAAAAATTTGTTTTGAGGCAAGATTTTTAACATCTTTTTGTAAAATTTCTTTGGCAGACTTGCAGTCTACCCTAATGAGAAATTTTTGGTTTAGTAAATCAGATTGAAATTTTGATACGCATAAAACAATTGCTAAAACTTCTTTTTTAACAGTTGAGTAATTCTGTTGTGCAAAATTCCAATGTTTTGAAGTGTATGCAATGATATGCTCATGAGACCCAACTCTCTGTTTGAGGATGCCATCATAACTTATGTCAAAGACATCAGTTTCAACAATTTTGAAAGCTTGAGGAATGGAAAGATAGAGACAATTTATTTTTCTTACTCTATTCTTGATATCTTTGACGACATTGGTATGAACATCAGTCCAAGAAAGAGGATTCTTTTTAAGCCTATCATGTAAAGGCTTGATAATATTATTGAGGTGTGGAATAAATTCACCTACATAATTAAGACATCCCAAAAATCTTTGTAACTGGGTTTTATCTAGGATTCTATCAGGAAATTTATCAACAAAGTTAATGGACCTGCTGATAGGAATGATAGTTCCTTGATAAATATTGTGACCAAGGAATCTAATATTAGTTTGAAAGAGATTAATTTTAGACTTGGAAACCGCAAGTCCGTTATGTTTGATGACATTGATAAAAACATTTATGTGTTTGAAATGTTGATCAATAAAATGGGAGAAAATCAAGACATCATCTATATAGACAATGACGAATTTAGAATAAGGATTGAAAATGTCATTCATGATTTTCTGAAACTCAAAAGGAGCATTTTTCAGACCAAAGGGCATAACATTCCATTCGTAATGCCCAAAGGGGACAGTGAAGG